TCTGCTGAATGTAATTAGTGTGAGAAAATTAGGAAATGAAAAACTTCTACATAGAAAATTGAAGACATTCATCTTTACTATGAGTACTACTATTTCAGTATTTTATCGATTTTTCGCATTCAACCAAAGATCTTACTACAAAAAAACATACCAAAATAAGAATGTTTTGTTAAACTGATTTGCAGATTCAAGAGGATCAAGAATGGTGGAAGCATTGGTGAGAGCAAAACTTCAAGATGGTTATGTTTCATATCCATGGGAAAAAAGGATGCAAGACGCTTTACCAATCTCTGGATCCAGCAGTTTCCTCTCTGTTCTTTTTCTTCCCAAAGCTTCTGGTAAGAGAAACAAAATATTAAAACTATTAATCACAGATTTGTTTATACATAAGTATCTGAATATTGACAATATTGTTTCGAAAAAAATTAGCTTATGGAAGGGCTGGTTCTCGGTACAACGACTTGGAAGACACGCTTGCTCGTGCCAATGCGTGGTTAAGCTGTTCACAAGCTAATGGTGTTCCCATTGTCTTTATGAATATTCAGACTGAATCTTTGCTCACAAAGGTTAGACTTGGAGATTTTTAGTTTGTGTAATGTTTTTGTAGAGATTTGAATGTATAAATGTTTGTTTGTATTTTACATGGTAAAGATATCGGGAGAAACAGCGTCCGCGACAGTTAATACTACCTCGCTTTCGGATTTGTCGAATCTTGCAAACGCGAGTCTTTATGGGTTTGAGGATTACCATGGAGTTGATATTGGCGTGGTGAGAGCAGTTCGGCTTTGGTTCGCTCCTCTTGGTGTTGAGTTCCCACTCGAAATCAAACTCAAAGAAGAAGATACCAAACTCGGGTTCTCCATTAGCCGCACTGAAGAGGTAAAAGTCTCTACTGAATATATGTATCACTAGGGACTAGCTTTCAAATCATGTGACGAAAAATTAACTATTTCCTGTTTGGAACAAAATTATTGAAGATGTGTATACTTGTCTTGAATTTCTAATGGAAATGAAATGAAACTAAAAACATTTCATTTCAATGTTTCTGTTTACATTCCGTTTGCACGATTTTTTTATTGAAATATTTTGTTGGACAGGGTTTCATTTACGTGTCCTCAGTGACAGACCACGAAGACGAGAATGCACCAGCCGCAAGATCCGGCCTAAGCTCGTTATACAGAGAAGCGGCCAAGGCGTCACGCCGTCTGGTGGTTTCACGTGTAGGCAGCCAAAAGGTATTGCCTTGGATGGTTTCCTCAACAGGAGCAATCCGCTGCTACGACACTGTTTCCCTCAGCCAGAAACTGTCACTTCACCGTCACGCCAAAGTCCATATCATACTCCACGTCTTCCTATGGGACTCCTCCTCCTCTGCCACCGCGGTTTTCTCCTCACCTCCAAGGAGCAGCAGCGGTGGGACTCACTTGTTGTTCAGTAACGAAACGCTCGATTCTGCGGAGTTTATGAGGCCGCCGAGACAGGTGGGTGACAGACAGGTTATGCCATTGGCGGATGAGGATGTGTTTCGGTTTGAACGCGAAAATGCGGGTAATGCTTCGTTTAAGTTCCAAGAAATCCCTTTTTCTAATGAATCCTTGTGATGAAATCGATCTTTTTTCTTCCTTTCTTTGTGTTATATACTTGATGGAGAGTTTATGTTTTGGGGGATATGTTTTTTTATACGTGCATGTAAATAATTAGAACACTCAAGGTGATGAACTATAAGGTTAGTTATATTTCTGTATTTAGTTTGTTCCTGTGATCGACACTTGTTTCTTCTTCTCTTTCTAATGGAAGCCTTTCTTTTTCTTTCGATTGCTAAACATTGCTTTAACTCTACAAAACTCATGTCTTTAGTGACGATCGTAAAACATAAGTAACCCAAAGTCAATAGCTTCATTGGTGTATTAGAGAAATTCGTTGAAAGAATGTTTTCAAGGTCACGAGTTCGGAATCTCGGTGATGGAAAATGCACTAATTTAAATTGTTCTTGTCTATATGAGGCAAACAGATTATGGATTTGAGGAATATAGTATTTTTGGTTACAAAGAAACAAAGATCTTTCCAAATCTGTGGGCTTATATGTCTAGATTTGCATTTTAGATTTTTCCCAACCAATATCAAGTGGGGATACATTTGTGTAAAATCCTTTTTTTTGTTTATTGTCCAAAGTGACACATGTATGCCAATTATTTTTGGGAATTTTTTCTAGTATAAAATCATGCTTTTAAATAAATCAAGGGTGCAGTTGATATTTGCTCAAGTAATAAAAATAGGGGATATTTAACACTTGTAATTGGAAGTGACAAAAAGTTGATATTTAGCTCTCTTTTTTTAAAGCACGCCGAGGATATTATTATTTTTGTATAAATTAAAAAGGTTCACATGATGGGTATTGCAAATATTGTCAATATGCCATGATAAGATTTTTTAATAAAAATAAAATGCTAAAAATAGTTTTATATTGATTACTTGTAGCCAATCAAAATTTTCACTAGAAATGAACACCACCACCTAATAATAATATTATTTTTCTGCTCTGACTACCAATCACACGGAAAAAATAATGGGTTGATTAATATAAAACGTAAAACTACAAAATGAGGAGAAAAATATTTATTTTCATGACAAACGAACGCAGAGGGAAATGAAAAGTAGCAAATGTAACGTATTTTTTTTAAACCAATCTCTACAATGTTTGTTTCCAGAATTATTAGCATGTTTATGACTTAGAAAATATTCTTGGAATAAAATTATGATCCTGAACCAAAAAAGAAAAACAATACCTTGATTCCATTCCATCCAATATAAATTTCAGGATTTTGTTTTTGATAATATCTTTCCAGGATTTTAAATTATATATTACAGTAGATGATTTAGAAACAGTAAAAAAAAGGTTACTTAATTAATAGAAACTCTTTTTGGGTTAATAAATCTAAACTTCTTGGGTTCAAATATCAATTCCTTAAATCAATTGGTGTTTACTGTAAAACAATAATCATAAATAGTCTATGAATATATACTGTGTACTGTCCCTTTTATCTTGTTTATGAATAATACATACTCCTTTTTTTTATCTTTTTCCTAGGTTGCACTGAAACCGGTACGGAGACAAGAAACGGAGACGGGCGCCAGGACGAAAAACGGTAATACTAAAAATTTATGGATAGGGATACGATAGGGATACGTCA